GAGTCAGCGGTCGGCCCTCTGACCAATATTTCAGATGACGGTCACAAGTATGGCCTTCTTCATGCTTGTTTTTGGATTTAGTTTTGTGGTTATCATTGAATGATTCCATATAATGGTTTTTTTTAGGACAAGACATTCTTCGTTCGAGCTGTCAAAGGAATCTGCAAAAGTTACCGATACCACAGCTCTTGCTAAAGCCACCCTTGCAGACCTGGTAAGCAATCTTACTCTACATCAATCTTAAAATGGTGCTCTTCGGCTTACACTATTGTGGTTTATCCAGGAATGGACAACATGCTTGAGTTCAACAGACTGTAGTGAGATTGGGCTCGTGCATTTGAAAGATAAAGAAAATTTGCTCAGCTTGAAAAGATTTTCAAAGCAAAAGGTGAAAAAGTTAGGTAAAGAGGCACAAGTCTTAAAAGAGCGGAATCTGATGAAGAACGTAATAAAGCCCTCAGCTTTTGTTCCCGAAATCTTGTGCACTTGTGTCGATCAAACATTTGCAGCAATCTTACTGAACACTACTCTTGCTTGTCCTATATCTTCTCTGCTTCACTCTCCGCTTGATGAGTCATCTGCCCGTTTCATTACTGCCTCACTTGTGTCTGCTCTAGAAGATATACACAAGGTCAAAACTTTTTCTTTACCATCTCCCAGTTACTTCTAAGATTTCGTGTTCTGAAACTGTTTTTTTTTTCTTTTTCTTTCCCTTTTGGAATATCTAGAACGAAATTCTCTTCAGAGGTTCATCCCCCGAGCTACTGATGCTGGATCAATCCGGATATCTACAGGTCTGTATTTTGCCGTTACATGGCTCTTTGGGTTTTATATAATTGATTATTTCCACCAGAATTAAATTTTAACCTCTTTATTGTAGATTGTAGACTTCAGATTCGCCAAGAAACTGTCCGGGGAACGAACATTTACAATCTGTGGAAATGCAGATTATTTAGCCCCGGAAATTGTTCAAGGCAAAGGCCATGGTTATGCAGCTGATTGGTATTGAGTTCCCTCTATTCCTCTTCTGTATTTTGGCATAGTATTTGAATATTCTTAACCGTTTTTATTTTTTTGGGCTGATTCAAAAAGGTGGGCTCTTGGAGTTTTGATTTACTATATGCTAGAAGGAGAAATGCCTTTCGGGTCATGGAGAGAAAGCGAGCTCGACACGTTTCAGAAGATTGCAAAAGGCCAACTAACTTTTCCTCGAGGTCTAAGTTCAGAAGCTGAAGATCTCATCACAAAGGTCTCATCTTTAAGTTCAAATTTTACATCTACTAAAGGTAGAAATCTCCAGTTTCATTGTCTTACCCGCGTCTTAAAACTCTTGCGTAGTTGCTTGAAGTTGATGAAAACCTGCGGTTTGGTAGCCAAGGAGGTCCTGAATCGATTAAGAAACATCCCTGGTTCAGTGGACTTAAATGGGAAGCTATTAGTAACCGCGAATTTCAAGTTCCTCAAGAGATAATCTCGCGAATTCATCACCATTTGGAGAATGACAACGTTTTCACTCTAGAAAGTTCCCAATCGCTTGACACAACAGATGTTCAAGATGCTCAAAACTGGCTTGAAGAATGGTAAAGAGACTTCAAACAAAACTGCGGCTCTTTTATATCCGCTTCTATTCAATTAAAAAATTTCGATACTTTTAAACAGTCATTGATGCTGAAAACAAGAGAGCCTATGAATCTTAAAACCCTGTGATTCATGAGAAAGTTTAGGATCTTTTGGTTGTGGTGTAAATAGGTGTATATGTTAGATAATGGCTGAAGAATATCAATCACCAATCACCTCCAAGTTTTGTATCCTCTGACTTATTTTTCTGATGGGCTCTGACTTTTATAGAAAGAGTTCTCTGTTTCGTGGCGGCTTAGTCTAAAATGATTTCGAACATGGAGAAGAATATGCAGTGAATTTATAGCTTCATTAACAAAGAAAATGCCATCAATCCCTTCATTAATGGCTGCTTACTTAAATAATCTTAGCAAATTTAGTGGCGTACATGTTTTCTTGCTTGTAATAATAGGTTTCACATTTTTCGTTTAAACTATTTATACAACTTCGTTGTTTATATTATTTTACTTGAAAAACCCTCAAGTATATTTCAATCTGTGTGTATCACCACCATTTTCAATCTCAAACGTGGGTAAGTTTATTAGTAAAGAGTTTTTTTGCAAGTCTACTACAACAAATTCACATGTTTTTCATGTTGGCCAAAACCCAAGTAACCGACCAAAATGGTCCACAAATAGTGAAATCAAATCCGGAACCATAACGAGTTTATACATAAAGTCAACCCTAAATGGCAAGACCACTTTGCCACCATGCCTGATTCTAGTTTTAGTTATTCAACAAACTCTTAAATTGAACTATGAGAAAAAATGTGCAAATTGTGTCAAAGGGAAAAAGACTATACATTAAGATTTTGGCGTGTCGTGTTTAGTTCATTACTTTTCTCTCTGTTAACAAACCAGTGAGCCGTTCTTCTAGCAATCGGCAACCATAACCGCCGTCTTCTTTCCTCCGTCGTCGCAGTAACGGCATAATTCTGCGAAGTGGATGCGGCTGAACCGCTGTAGCTTCCTCCAACCGCGTTTTCTCTTGAAACAGTCGTGATCTCAGACACAGTTCTTCTGGATGAGTCTTTGTTCTTCTTCAATATTCTCTTCATTTCCATATCTTCCTTGTCTCGCAAGTTACCTCTATGCACTCGATCCATCGACGAGAATCTGTCGCTTGACAACGAATTCAGCATTTCAGATGTCAAAAACGTCAAATCAGATGAAGTAACATTACTCCAACGGTTCTTGAACACGACATCCGAAACAACGATCCTGTGATTGAACTTGTGCATAAGTTTCTTCTCATCGATGTTCTCGTTTCCTTGTCGCTCAAGCAACAACGATTTCTTTAGAATCTTCCGGAAACTGCTGAATCTAGAAGACCCGTCACTAGTTCCTTCTTCGCGTTCGATGTATATCTCTAACCTCGAGTCTTCTTCTCTTGTCTCGGATTGGTTCATGATCCTAAGGCTACTACTGCTATTACCCAAAGCAGAGAGATCGCCTTCAATGTTGACTCTGTTTCTGCACAAAGGACACGTAGCGTGCTGCTCAAGCCACTGGTCAATACAACCAATATGAAAAGCGTGTCTGCATTTAGGCAAAAGCCTAAGAATCTCAACATCTTCAAATTTAGACAAACAAACAGAACATTCAAGCCCTTGTTTCAATCCTTTCAAAGCAGAGAATCTGAAAAAGGGAAGAGATTCGATTGCTTTCTTGTCAAGACCCGAGAATCTTGAAGATCGATTGAAAAGTCCTTGCCAGAGACGATCGTGTCGTCTTGTTTCTCCATCACCATCAGTCTCTGATAGGAGATCGTTGTGGAAGCATTTGGCGTAGACAAGGAGAACAAAGGTAAGAGTGAAGACGATGGAGAAAACTCCGGTGATGATGGCTAAGCTTGGCTTGAAAAGGTCGCTTGTTGCGTATAGATCAGGAGGAGGAGGAGATTGAGCAGAGACATAGTCTAAGAAGATGATGATGAAGAAGAGAATGGAGATTTCTTGTGGTGAATTCATCGTTTTCATTGAGAAAAAGACAAACAAAAAAAAGTCGTGTTTATGAATTTGGAGAGAGATGTTTTTAAACGCAATAATATATTATCAACGTGACATCATTATTGATCTCATTGAGAGGCATGGATAATTCTGTGAAACGAAATAAAATAGTACTAGATTACAACCCGCACTATGTGCGAGATGAAGTGATTTAAGTAAAATTATTATGATTAAAATTATTATCCGGGATCCAAGATCTATTTGTGTAAAACAAAACATGTAATAATTTTTTTTTAACTCAAATTTGGGACTATTTCATATAAGAATACGTTTTACCCGTGAAATATTTGAATCTGGAATAAAGCTTCAACGTGATAAAGAAAGTATTGACGAAATGTTACCATTTATGACAATATGCCGTTCTGTATGTTTTAAAGATGTCGATTATGATAAAAAAAAAAATATGTCGAGATTTAAGTATAAGAAATCCAAAATTTTATCAAAGATGAAATTTGATAGTTTCCAAGTTAAGATTTTGTAGTGTTCCAAATTAAGATTCTTAGATATGAATGGATTACCTAATTGTGTTTGCTAATATAGAGAGGACAAGCATTTGCACTTTTGGAACAATCAGTTATTTTCCATTACGAAATAAATCATCATCCAAAACAGTATTTACTTTTTTTATATTTGGTCATAACTGGATTTGAGTCTAAAAAGTGTTTTCCTTGGTTATTTGGTGTTTTTTGGTTTTGTTAACCATGATATTTAATAATTTCCATCTGAGTTTGTTCTAAAAGGCATAAAAAATACAAACACTAAACCATAAGCAATCGATGACAAATTAGATTTGTTTGAAACAATTTGAATTGTTCCTTTTCTAACCTATGTTTACCAAGCAACTCGGAAATTAAGTTCAGAGATTATGTTTTAGATGCATACCTTTCAATTTTTTCTTTTACTGCTTCATTTTCCATTCATAGTTGCATTTAATTGTGTTTGCTAATATAGAGATAATAAAGTTTGTCTCATATAGATTGTGTGTTTTTTAAAAATTTTAATTAGAATTTCGTTTTTGATTAGTGGGATATATTAATGTATGAGACTAATGGCAAATTCTGTAAATAGTCTAATAAATCTTGGTTAATTATCTAAATAGAAACCAAATCATTGTGAGAGCGACACATCAGCGTGGCAATCTTGTTAATAACACATGATAGTAAGGTTTTTTTTAAAAAATGTTTCTCTATTAATATATAGGGGATGTGGAATAAGTAAGACTATATAATTAATACTATTATAGGTTCTGGTTGGTGATTAGTTAAGGGAATTATTGTGACGAAAGTGAAGGTGAAAGAATATGAATTGAATATATGGATATTTCTGGAAATATATGTCTTGAATTTTGAATTGTCGAGTTAGTAACCTTTTTTGATGTGAACTACCTTATATATTTGTTTTGAATTCCTTAAATTTAAAAATTCCTAAGATACATATTTTTTTTCCCCTCAAAATTACACTTTTGATAATGATGATTAGACTACATTATACACTAGTCAACAAATACAGATAACATACAGATAATCTCATTATGCAAGTAGTTTAGCTAGTTCATCTAGCTTCAATGTTCCAAGTGGTATTACTTCTCTATAATCTTCAGCAAACTCGTCCATTTTCTTCTTCAATCCCTCCTTCTCCTCTCTTTCCCCACTCACTGCAACTTCTCTTTTCCCAGAAACCACAACATTACTTGATTTTGCCTCCAAGTTTCGGTACCCGAATTCTCGAGTTTCCTGCTTCTTAACCGTTGGTTGTTTTCTCAAGCCATGCTGGAAAACTGGTCCCGGGGAAGCTACAGTCGAAAAGGCGACAGCTTTTGCAAAGACTGTGTCTGCGTCCAGATCAGTAGCATCTAACACAAGCGCAGTCCCGCTCTCCACAGCTTGTTTCATCAGATTCAGAACTCTCTCTATGCTTTGTTTGCTGATTTCTTCCGATGTTTCTGGTTCGTGTTCAGGTTCTTCGTGGTCTTGAATAGAACTATCTGCTGTTGGCTCAGTTACATCTTTTGTAGACGGGCTCTGTAAAGAACTGCTTGTGCCCTCCATTGCCGAGAAATCTACAGTTGAAGGGCTCAAATCGTGACCACCTGGATCATTTTCTAATTCCATAGAATCCAGAGGAGGGTTCTGGGTCACAGTTTGAGTCTGGTTTGGTGATACCGATGGTTCATCATCTTCCGGCAAGGCAGCATCAACTTCGATATCTTCAAGGATATCATCCTTTTTATCTGGAATTGTGAGAGACGATTTCCATTCTCGTCCTCTCCAGATAAGAATCTGCTCGTTTTCAAAAGAAATGAGCACACATGGAACAAGGTCCTGCCGAGTGATTCATAACACAACCAACGGTTCAACAATGAGGCTATAAATAAGAGATTTAAAATAACAAATCATAAGTGAATAATAACTAGATCAAACCTTGAGTTTGGCACCGATTTTCCTAAAATCACTGCCTTTCATCCCTTGACAATCGATCCGAACCAATTCACAAACTTCAAATGCTTCTTTAACATTTTTCACAAGGTCACAATACACACCATTCTTCCCTATATGACCCAACGCAGGAAAAAGTTAACATTTTCCGTCTTGGAAGAAACCATATCAAGATTAATATTATTATTATCCAGAGGTAAGCTGCTTGCTTACCTAGCTTGCATATGGGCATGAGCTCTCGTCCTTTCCTCCGCATCTCAGTAGCTTCCTGAAGAGTTAAACCCTCAGGCACTTGTTGAATCAGCCTTGGATAAACAGGTGCTACAGGCTTCCATAACATAAGAGGGAACCGCGGTCTTGTCCTGTGGTTATAGTTTCTGCCACGGAATAGGAAAAGCACACCTCCTCTTCCGTATATCACCTTCCCACCAATTTTCTCCTGCCAATTCAATTCACAACTTCATGAAGACAATTACAAACAGATCATAAAAGCATGATCCATCCATGCATTGTCCACTAATATGAAAAGATATAGAAAAACAGTTCCAAGCAAAAACCTCTAATTGCTCGCAAACATTATCCATATCAACTGTACAAACTCCTTTGCATTTAATCTTACAAACCCTTCGCCGCTTCCATAGATCATGTATGTTGTTCAACATGTTATGCGTCAAACCATCTCTGCCTGAGAAAAGACAAAAACTTTATATCATATCTTCTTCTACTCTAAATTTGTTCTCTGAGCCTATCACTTGCATAAGAACGAGAACCAGCACATCAACTACACCGAAGCAACAATGTCTGAGATTCCAAAAGATACTAATTTTGATCATCAAGAAGAAGTATTGATCTCCTAAAGCAAATTCAACAAAAAAGTATTGAACTTTATACCCATATTCAATTGCCTTGTTGTCTTCAAGCAAGAAGTAACCAGCTCTCTAATCTCTTCCTTCGTCAATGGCTCTCCTAAAATCTCCTCCTTCGTATAAACATATCTTGGACCCAACCCGGGTCGAAAAGGACCCGGTTTCTGCACCGGTTTCACCCCTTTCTTTCCGTCCGGAGGCAATCGAAAAGAATCGAATTCTCTCGGCGTCTTCTGCGACTGAGGAAGCGGAGCACGACCAGTCCATGGCCTTCCCATCGTCGTAGGCCCAAAAGGCGCATAAGCAGGCTCACGAAGCTTCAAAGGCTTAACCTTTGGCGTCTCCGTGTAACTGTACTTGAATTCGAAAGGAGCTCCATTGATGACGTAAGATAATCCATCTTCACTTAGCTTAACCTCTGGCTTAGCGTCTAATTGCGGCGGCGAATCGGGTACTCTAGGTTTGTTCTTGGGTTTATTGGGTCCTGAATCGGGTTTGGAGTATTTGGATCTCCGACCCGGAATCGAACGAGCAGAGGGAAGTGAAGGAGTGCCTCTTGATCTAAACGGTGACGTCTTAGGCTCAGAAGCTGCAGCTTCGGAATCATGTGTATGGACGATTTTAGTAGCGGCGTCGAATCGGCGGTCGCGACGGATCTCAGCCTCGAGCTCTTCTTGGCTCCGGCGACGCTGCTCGAACCGCTCTGCATTAGCGTTCCCCCACCTGGAGAATCGGATCTCGCTGGGCGATCTTGGGTTATGATTAGGAAATAGAGATGGCGCGAAAATTGGAAAAGGAGTGTTGAGTTTCAACGACATTGCCGGAGAAAACAGAAGTAGTCGGAGGAAGCCAAGGTTTTAGAGAGACTCTCATCCACAGGTGTGTGGTGGATCGAAACTATGGAGTCGAATTTACCAAAGGTCAAAAATAAAAGGTAAAAGCCCATTTGTTTTTAAGGCCTATTAAAATAGCTGACGCTAATCGAAATTTGTTGGGTAAAGGTAAATTTTTATATTCATCCTCTCTTTTTTAAAACTAATTTAAATTTGTCATTGAAAAATTAATATTCATTTAATTGTAAAATCTGGATCTATCTACACAATAATCAGAAGCTATGGTGTTATCTTAAGTGAACTAAATCAATAAATAAGGTTCAGATACTGACACACTGTGTTTGTAAAATGACATTCCAGAGAACATTAAATACCTTTGCACCAGGTTGATTAACAGGGCAGAGTGCAGATTCAGCCATTTGTGCGAACAAGTACCGGGGACTGAGCCATTTGTGCCACGCACCCTTTAGCAGATGATATACATTGTGGGCTTGAAGGTAGCTGGTGGCTAATAGCTACAAATTAACCTATATAAAGAGGTAAAGTCAGAAAGTGAAGGTTCTCAACCATTATCGGAGCTGTATCAACCCAAATATCTACAAGGTTTTGAGGTATTCCCAGAGAAACAAGCAACAACAAACATATCAAGTTGCGTGGCTAGGTAACATACCTCCATTGAAGAATGGATTTGATCCATTAAGTAACAAGGGTACAACATCAATCAAGGAGCTTCAAGTTTCTTCAAAAAATGGATTCGTACTCTTCCTGGTCTAGAATTGTTGAAGAAGCTCTAGATGTAACACCATCGTGTCCCAAGCTAAAATCAAAAACACAAAACGTCAATGTATCTACTAAAAATAACTCAATTAACGATCGATTAAAGCACAACGAAGCTCAAAATTGAAGCAGATCTTTCTCAATTTACTGAAATTAACCAGAGAAAATCCTAGGTATTTTTTCAAGTTCATCGGAAATATACAAATTAACTAACCAGAAGCGTTGCCGTGTATAAGAATCGCCGAATGTTTCCTCCTCCTCTTAGTCTCCGTCTCTGCGGCATCGTTTCGTTAAGGCGTCGTTGATAGAAAGCAAATCGAAGATTAGATCAATTTGAAGATTCCGATGGCCGGAATCGATTTTGCTTGGGGGGGGGGGGGGGGGGGGGGGGGGAAAGACGGCAAAATTTTTGCTTGCTACTTTTGGAATCTCTTTTTTGTTTCATTTATGATATAGGAGGAATAACAAGTGGGGACTACACAGAGATACTAAACAAAAAAAAAAGAAAAAAAAATACAATAAAAGGAACAAAACAAAGCCAACGAATAACATAGCGACAGCCGCTAGCGACAGACAAACGAACAATACATATTGTCGTTGGTTACTGATCGATGTCGCTGGTTGCTATCGCTGAATCCGCGAAAGACAAACGAACATGGCCAATATATATTTTTTTCTCACATAAACCCTATTTAATACTATCATTATTATATATATACACAGCACTACATATATAAAATATTTCTGATAATATTCAACATTATCCTAATCTCGGTATATTTTGTTGTTATAGGTTGTCAAAAATGGTTGTGTTCCCCTTCATAATATGTTTTAGATACTATTTGTTTTTTTAATCATAGATTTTCTCTTATCTACATTATATTTATACACTAGATCATGAGTCGTACTATAGTAGTACGGGTTAAATTTTGTTCAGTACAATATTTTATATATTATATATTTTAGAGTAAAGTTTTGATATAGTATAGTAGTAAGTGAAAAATATATTTCTTCTTTTAAGTACATATATATAATTTTTTATAATAAATATATTTTTCTTTTTATATAATACTCAATTATGGATAATTTTTCTTAAGATATGAAAACGGAAAGTAATATTATTTTTAAAAAAAAATATTGTTTGAACAATGAGTTAATTTATGTTAACAACCACAAAATGATATTGCATATAATTCAGTTAGAACAAAAATCAAAATTTCATAAATGAGTCGCATCTTAAACGTAGATTATTTTGAATTAATTAAGGAAGTTAACTATTATTTTGAATTAATTGGGACAATTATTAAAATATACCAAAAATTATAGTAAAATTAAAAAAATATACCAAATCTTTTAGAATTAAAAAATTAGGTTTTTTCTCAAAACGCAAATAAAAAAAATAAAAAAATAACAAAGAAAGTAAAATCCCTCGATCATCGTCATAAACTGTTTTTGCTATCTCTCTCTAGCAATCTTCATAATCCCCCTTAAATCTCAGTTCCTTTCATGAACCCTAACTTTCGCCATTCACTTTCCCATCCCAAAAATTGTAAATGGTATATGCACTTAAATATGAGAGATGATGGCTCAGCATCTACCATTTAACACATCTCTCGTGTTCTTCATTGGCCTCTTAACAAACCCCACACATCATTTGCATTTTTAAGGTTCTGTTTTATTAATACTGTGATCTTACTTTAATGTTCTCACTATAACGTAGTCCACTACTCCATTCCTTATAAGTAATACAAATAAAAAGCAAAACAAAAATCCAAGAGTTTTTTTTAGAAGCCGTGAATTCTCTGGCCTTCTTCTACTTGACAATATCTTATCTCTCTGAATTCAACGATATCACACATTATATCTCCTTTAAATACCTAGCAACACTAGTTTTGCTGTAGTTTTATAATATAAAGTGTAGAGCATTTTCCACTGGAAAAAAAAAGTTTACAAATTAGTTTGACACTCTACATAATAACTTCATGAAACTGACTTTACATAATAACTTTATCTAAAAACTTCAGCAAACAACTTTACTTAAAATCTATAATAATTGTGTGAAACTAAATTACTAGAAAAATTTGCAAATTAACTTTACCTTAAAGTTTTATCAAACAACTATACTTAAGATCTATATAATAACTGTGTGAAATTAAATTACGAGAAAAATTTGTGAATTAACTTTACCTTAAAACTTTATCAAACAACTATACTTAAGATCTATATAATAACTGTGTGAAACTAAATTTATGAGAAAACTTGATATTTAACTGTATTGAAATACTTTATTAAACAAATATACTTAAGATCTAAATAATAACTGGGTAATGAGACAAACAACTCTACGTAATGAGAAACTATCAAACAACTCTACCAAACAACTTTCAACAACTCAAATACACATGAAACTAATGAGAAATTACTAAGAACTTGAGAAAAAAATGAATGAGAAAACTAAGAATTTTTTCATTCCTACGAGACAACTTTTCTCATTACTACGAGATAACTTTTCTCATAAACTTTACCCAATAATTCTACCAAACTAGATCTATGTAACAGTTTTTCAAAAAACTTTACCAAACAAATATATATTAAACTCTACATAATAACTGTGCAAAACTATCTATATTATACTCTACTAAATAACTTTTTGAAAGAACTTTAGCAAAGACTGCATCTTTAAATAACTTTGCAAGAGATTTATGTACATAAACGTTCTAAAGTTTATGAAACTTTTCCAAATACTTACTTCTCTGTAGAGTTGACAAATCGTTTTTTTAATGGAGTTTGGTTTGATAAACACTTATATATACGTAAATAACAACATAGTTCACATAGGTTTAGGGAATTAATTTAGAGTTATATTATTAAAAATTATTCTAGATTAGTTTGGCATATTTTTCAGATTTTATCTTCAAATTTTATCATAATCAATAAAAAACTAAAAATTCAAAAAAAATCTGTAACTAACGTGGGTTATATAGCATTATAAATGTGGCTTTAATTTGTTTTTATGTTAAATCATATAATTAGATAAATATAAGGATACTTTTGTCTTTTGTTAGTCTACATCTTAAATTCTAAAAGATATGGCCTAGATTAATAATTTTGGTTTGTTTTTAGATTTTTTTCATAATTATCCCTTAATTTAAGAAGTTTATTTTCAATTTGTAATTCCTTAGTTGTTGAAATAGAAATTTTTTTAGCTAATTATGGAATTTAGCAATTATTCGCATAATCGAATATATTATGAACATATTTTTGGTATATAATAATATCAAATTCAACCCGTGCGTGAAGTATATTTTCATTTTAGAATCTCAATGAAAAAATTGCATGCACATTCCATCATTTGTTATTTTCAAAATTGCTTGCAAAATCAAATTTTAAATATTTAGAAGTGTCAAACCTTATTTAATCATCTCATCATATAATCTTAACATGCTGTCTGTTATAAGGATCATAACAATTTTTATCATATAATACATTATATTTAACTCATTGCCTGCTATAAATATTTTAAATATATCTGTTTCAACATGCTATAAATATTTTAAATAAAATTATATGAAATTAAATATAAATATTCAAATAACACATTAAATTACATGTCATCATATAAATATAACACATTAAATTCAACCTGCTGCCTATTATAAATATTTTTAAATATATATTTTAAAAAAAAAAACTAAATTACAGTATTTATAATTTTTAAATTCTTGATATATTAAGTATTGATGATTTTTTTGAAAATATCAAATAAAACTATTTTTAAATGTTCCAAATTTAAATATTTAAAATTTTGTTTTAGTATATAATATTATACATTTCAAAAAAAAAGTGAAATTAAATATAAATACCCAAATTCTGACTCGTTAGTGAGGCAGAATTTTTGTTGAATTTATTTTTGTTTAAAAGAAATATATTACTCAAGTCTGAATTTTTGACCCGTTACATTTTTTCCTTCATAGATTGAACAATTTCTATTCGTTTTTAAAAATTCAAATCATGGCATGTGCAAAAAAAATTACTTTTTATTATTATATATATGATATGATGATTTATTTGTTTCACAAAATTAGAATCATATAAAGATGAGAGTTGAAGTATAATGATTAGTAACAAATTAATAAGGTAAGTTAGATATCAAATCTTATATATTCATTTTGATTGGTCATTTGTTTTAAAATTATTAATGTATTTTCGTTTTTATAATTATATTAAATTAACTA